GATGTCACAACATGGGGAGGTCCTCAAGGACATGAAACCATGAGGAGACCGAGGTCACAACACGGGGAGGCCCTCGAGGACATGAGACCATGAGGAACCCAAGGTCACAACATGGGGAGGCCCTCGAGGACATGAGACCATGAGGAGCCTGAGGCCGCGACACAGAGAGGCCCTCAAGGCCATGAGAACATGAGGAGCCCAAGGTCGTAACACGGGGAGGCCCTCGAGGCCACGAGGAACTCGAGGTCACAACATGGGGAGGCCCTCGAGGACATGAGACCAGGAGGAACCTGAGGTCACAACACGGGGAGGACCTTGAGGCCACAAGGAACCCGAGGTCACAACATGCGGAGGCCCTCGAGGACATGAGAAGCCCAAGGCCGCGACACGGGGAGGCCCTCAAGGCCATGAGAACATGAGGAGCCCAAGGTCACAACACCCAGAGGACCTTGAGGCCACAAGGACTCGAGGTCACAACACGGGGAGGCCCTTGAGGACATGAAACCACGAGGAGCCCAAGGTCACAACACGAGGAGGCCCTCAAGGCCATGAGGAACCTGAGGTCACAACACCCAGAGGACCTTGAGGCCACAAGGAGCCTGAGGCCGCGACACGGCGAGGCTCTCGAGGCCACAAGGAACCCGAGGTCACAACATGAGGAGGCCCTCGAGGCCATGAGGAACCCGAGGTCACAACATGGGGAGGACCTTGAGGCTACGAGGAACTGAGGTCATATCACGAGGAGGCCCTCAAGGACATGAAACCACGAGGAACCCAAGGTCACAACATGGGGAGGCCCTCGAGGCCACAGGGAACCCGAGGTCACAACACGAGGAGGCCAGGAGGAACCTGAGGCCACAACACCACGAGGACCTTGAGGCCACAACACCACGAGGAACCTGAGACCACAACATGGGGAGGACCTTGAGGCCATGACACCATGGAGGTCCCCAAGGCCACAACACCATGGAGGACCCCAGGTCATGACACCATGGAGGTCCTCAAGGCCATGGCCCCGTGGAGGTCCCCAAGGCCATGACCCAATGGAGGTCCTCAAGGTCACAACACCATGGAGGTCCACAAGGCCATGACACTATGGAGGAGACCCCAAGGTCCTGTTGACCCCAAGGCCATGGTCCCATTGAGGTCCTCAAGGCCATGGCCCCATGGAGGTCCCCAAGGCCATGACACCATGGAGGTCCTCAAGGCCATGGCCCCATGGAGGTCCCCAAGGCCATGACACTATGGAGGGACCCCAAGGTCCTGTTGACCCCAAGGCCATGGTCCCATTGAGGTCCTCAAGGCCATGGCCTTGTTGAGATCCACAAGGTCACAACACCATGGAGGTCCCAAGGCCATGACACCATTGAGGTCCTCAAGGCCACAACACCATGAAGGTCCTCAAGGCCACAACACCATGGAGGTCCCCAAGGCCATGGCCCCATGGAGGTCCCCAAGTCCACGACCCAATGGAGGTCCTCAAGGTCACAACACCATGGAGGTCCCAAGGCCATGACACCATTGAGGTCCTCAAGGCCATGACACTATGGAGGTCCCCAAGACCACAACACCATGGAGGACCTCAAGACCATGACCCAATGGAGGTCCCCAAGGCCATGACCCAATGGAGGTCCCCAAGGCCACAACACTATGAATGTTCACAAGGCCATGACCCAATGGAGGTCCTCACGGCCATGACACCATGGAGGTCCCCAAGGCCATGACAACATTGAGGTCCCCAACGCCATGGCCTCATGGAGGTCCCCAAGGCCATGACCCAATGGAGGTCCCCAAGGCCACAACACTATGGATGTTCACAAGGCCATGACCCAATGGAGGTCCTCACGGCCATGACACCATGGAGGTCCCCAAGGCCATGACACCATTGAGGTCCTCAAGGCCATGGCCTCATGGAGGTCCCCGAGGCCATGACCCAATGGAGGTCCCCAAGGCCACAACACTATGGATGTTCACAAGGCCATGACCCAATGGAGGTCCCCACGGCCATGACACCATGGAGGTCCCCAAGGCCACAACATTATGGAGGTCCCCAAGGCTACAACACCATGAAGGTCCCCAAGGCCCAATGGAGGCCCCCAAGGCCACGACCCCGAGGAGGCCCCCAAGGAGGCCCCAACCTCAACCCCGTCCCCCAACCCCAACTCCCAACCCCATCAACAACCCCGAGAGGCCCCCGAAGGCCCCGTCCGCCCCCAAAAACACCCAAAAAAGAGGCAAAAAACACAAAAACACAGACCCGGAGGAGGGGGACGGGGGAGGCCGGGGGAGGCCCCGGCCTCGACCCGTCGCTTTTTGGTTTCCGTTAGTGGTTGAGGTATTTGGCGAGGTATCTCCAGGTTATTTGGTTTGGCAGCTGCAATTTAAAGCTCGGGGGGGATTTTCTGAGGTTTTTTTGTGTTTTTTAACATATTTTCCATATTTTTCATTCTCCCGGGGAGGCGGCGGAAACGTCGCCTCCCGGCGGGCCCCAAAACGCCTCTTTTTCCCCCCCAAAAACAGG